GGGTCCTGGACGGCGTGAGGGGACGGGGAAGGTGATGGGGTGTAGAGCAGCTGGAGAACGTGTTACGTGAGGGGGTCCTGGACGGCGTGAGGGGATGGGAAACGGGCATTGCTTCAGTGTGTCTGAGTTCTTTCAATCCTGGCCTTTGTTGGGTGCGATGAGAAAGCCTGCTGTCTTGAAGGAGTGATTAGAGTCCGACTTCTTACCTTCTGAAGAGCCCCTCGAACAGGTAGCCTGTCACTGGTGGCCTAGTGGTAAGGAGTTTCACTGCTAACCTGAAGGCAGGTAGTTCAAACCTACCCTCTTCTCCAAGGAAGGGAAAATAAGGGCCAGTCTCCTCCCTGCGATTTCCAGGCTCTGAAAACCCGCTGAGGGTCTGCTCTGCATCACGTCTGTCTTGATGGCAAATGAGGATTTTGAGTTTGAGAAACTATAATAAGGGCTCTGTTAGCACCGTGTCTAACATGCTGCACTGTTAACAGAATGGTCAGCAGTTCAAGTCCGCCAGCTTCTCCAAGGGAGCTGGATGGGCGAAGGAGCAATCCTAATCTCCTGGTAGGACGTGCCGCCTGGAAACCCTGTGGAGGGTCCCTGCGAGTCAGGACGGCCTCCACAGCAGGCCTGGGACCGGGAGGGAGGCCTGCGCTGCAGCACGTGCTGGGACCAGAGGAAGAGCTCTGGGGCCGGGGAGCTCCGGGGACCTTTGTGGGGACTCCTTCGTGCTGTGTCCAGAGCTCGTGTCTTCCTGACTTGCCTTCTCCGACAGGCTTGACTATCGCCAGGCGCATCCAGATCTCGGACTTACCCCAGCTGGTCGCTGCTTTCCACAGCCTGGTGGGCCTGGCGGCTGTGCTCACCTGCATCGCCGAGTACATTGTCGAGTACCCACATTTTGCCACGGACGCGGCTGCAAATCTCACCAAGATCGTGGCTTACCTCGGTACCTACATCGGCGGAGTCACCTTCAGCGGCTCTCTTGTTGCCTATGGAAAGCTGCAGGGTAAGTGGTTCAGCAGAGTGCGTTGGGGCCGCGGTGCGTGTTCACGTCACCCGTGACTCATAGCGACCCTGCGGACGAGGGGTCTGCCTTTGCCCTGCCTGTGCCAGCCTCACCGTCTTGGCACACTTGAGCCAGTTACTGCATTCACTGTGTCAGTCCATCTCCTTGTGGGGCTGACCGTTCCCAGCATGATGTCCTCCAAGAACTGACCCCTCCTGAAAATATACCCCAAGTGTGTGAGATGAAGTTTTACCATCCTCATAGAGCTAAAAAAAATGATTCAGGTGTTTGGAGGGTCCACGTCACCTGAAGGATATCAGCGCACATTCAGAAATGCATTTAAAAAGTGTTCTCCCATGAAGATGACTTCCATTTATTTGTCCTTTAAATCTCACTGAACTTGGAGGCTATCTTTTAGAAGCTGACAGCTGTTGGAGGAAACCCACAGGCATTTGCCCAAAGGACTAGTTGACATTTGACAATACAGACAAACAGAATGACAGAATGGAATCCTTGGGTGGGGCCAGCTCTGTGAGTTCATGGAAATGAACTTTATCACATTTTCTCTGTTAGAGAGAAGCCTGTTGATGACGGTTGTGTGGTTGGTAAATAGCACTTGTTTTGAAAAATAAATGCACAGGTAGGCCTTCCTCCTGGCAGGTTTTTTGCTGCCGAAGTCAGTCATCATAACAGTGGAAATGGGGTGGCGAGGGGTGTGTGGGGGGCACACTTGCCTGTTTTCCATCATTTCACCACGTTGTGAATCTCTCCAGAAATTGGCTCTTGGTCCCGCTTCTCAGCGATGATTAATGTTGAGAGAGGAACCTGCTTCCAGCCTGAAACTTTTGCCTCGAGCTTTGTCTTTGGAGACAGCTGACTTAACAAGGGTTTTCTCCCTTGGGCTCAGCAGGTGGGGTGGGAAGTGCTGGTGTCCTGGGGCTTCGTATTACAGGCAGGCCTCAAGAACTGACTTAGCAGCGTCTGCCTTGCTCATGGCTGGGGCAGGAGATCACATTTTAATTCCATGATCACGGCGGGTAGAGAAATTGTTACATAACCAAAGTTAAGGAAAAGAACAATGAAGCTGAATCCTACTTTTCCCCTTTCTACAAATACTGGTTTGTAAGAACTCCTAAGTGGCTCTGATGTTTTGGGGTCTGGTGACATAAAGTGACATTTCCCAGTCCCGGCTGCTTCTCATAGTGAGTGCTGGTAGCCTAGGATGAAATGACTGTGGTGGAGAGGACTTCCCTTGGCACATTCCAGGCTCTGAACACCCTGTGCTTGGCCGTAGGCATCCTGGGATCTGCCCCTCTCCTGCTCCCCGGAAGACACTTGCTCAATGCGGGCTTGCTGGCTGCGAGCGTCGGGGGGATCATCCCCTTCATGCTGGACCCCAGCTTCACCATGGGCATCACCTGCCTGGGTTCTGTCTCCGCGCTCTCTGCTGTCATGGTAAGAGGCCAGAGGTGGACCCTTCAGACTTAGGGAGGGCTGCAGGGCTATTATCTGTTCACGATGCAGGTAGAAATGGAACATGGGAGACAAAAAATGTGGATTTAAAATGACCTTGTGCTTGTTGTGCGCCGTCCAGTGGGAACCGACCCTCCAGCGTGTCTTCAGAAGCAGTAAATCGCACGGGAGGAGATTGCCCGTGTTTCTCCAGCAGAGCAGCTGGTGGGTTAGAACCACGTGCCTTTGTATTAGCAACACGACTCCTTACCACTCGGCCACTGGAGTGTCCTGAAATGACGTTACAGGTTGATTCTTTTCAGAATCTGGAAAGCAGAAAAGTTGAGAGGACAGTGATTTTTCTCTCAAGTTCCTGTCCCGCTCAGAGCTGTGACAGGTGTGACCCTCCGTGATCTGGTGTCTTTGTCCGGTGGTGCCCAGGAGCTTAGAAACCGCATAGGGCCCTAGTGCCGCCCCGCAGACCCTGGGGAGGGCAGAGCCTCCGTCAGCCTGTGAGGTTCACACGGTACGTGTGACGTGGGCCCCGGCCATCAGGTGCTCACCACTTGCAGAGTAAAGAGGACAAAGCTTTGGCTGTGGGCGTGTCGCTAGGAGAGGCTGTTCTTGGAGAGGGCCGGCATGCTTGGGAAGGTGGAGGGTCGGTGAAGGAGAGGAAGACTCTCAGCCAGATGGACTGACACAGTCACTGCAGCTTTGGGCTCCAGTGTGTCAGATGGTGAGGACGGCACAGGACAGGGCAGGGCTCAGGTCTGTTGGTCATAGAGTCACTGGGAGTCACACCCGACTGGACAACACCTAACAAAAACAACATGTGTTCAGCGAGAGGGGTCCCTGGGACTTCCATGAGCAGGTTTGATCTGTTTTCCTCTGAGGGAGCTCTGTGGCATAGGATGTAAGGAGCTGTGCTCTAGCCAAGGAGCCCCGCCTTTCTGGGGGTTCAGGTCCACCAGAGGCTCTGGGGTAGAAGGTGGACAGCCTTCCCATGTGACCCACAGTCTCTGAAAGCCCACTAGAGGGTCGTGGAGCGGTTCTGACTCCATGGTAACTCTTGAGCCAAGTGTGTTTATGGTGCTGTCAGCCGCCATTGTTGGTCCCGACTCTGAGCAACTCCCCCACTCCCAGCAGCCCCC